GACCGTTGAAGATCTTCTGGTGTGGGTTTTCGTAGGTACTCATCTCCAAACAAAAAAAATTATTCCGTCAACAAAATGTTCCATGCACTTCATCGAAGTGGTTTCACCAATCCGGAGGTATTCGTCAACCGCATCAGCTGCACAACCATATGCAAGCATACGAATTGCTGCAGTAGACTTCTGTAGTTCAGAGAAACCGTACCTTTCGATAGCATATCTTCTTTGTTGAAAGTATAGAATTTCTGCGGAGAGTCGATCAACAATACACATGAATAAGAGCTTTTCATTCTAAAACGGCGTCGGAATAGATTAGGAGGGAAAGTTGGATTTTCTGCGAAATAATCGTTCCATAATTGGATGGGTCCTTCTTCACTATGTCTTTCAATATAGACTTTTTTTTCTTCGGTTTTGCTGCTTGTTGACGATCACCGTAATTGTACAAATAATTATCCAATTCTTGCTCGAAAATACTATCAAATTCTTCATCCAACGCTTCTTCAAAATTATCACGGGAAGATGATGCCATTTTCTATGTAGAAAATATTGGATTTTTTTGGTTTGAAGTAGAATTTTTTGGATTTTTTTGAGTAAAAAGAAAATGAAGGCTTGGATTTGGTTGAGAACAAGAATTTGGTGTGAAAAGAAAACATGAAGGCTTGGATTTGGTATGAGAACAAGTAATTATTTTTGGAGTAAAATATGGCTTGGATTTGGTTTGTTAACAAGTAATTTGTTGTGGTATTGGTTTGGATTTTTTGTATTGAGTTTGTAAGAACAAAAGAGAATAAAGACAAGTGGTATTACATGGTGATATTTATAGCGAACCTTCCGAAATAATACATGGTGTACAAAGTAAAGTCACAACTTGTGGAACAAAGTAAAGTAAAAACTTGTGGTTAGATTTGCGGTACGAACGATTCGTTTTACATTTATTAATAATTATATATAAGACCAACAATTTATATGAAATATTCTCTCATGTTATATATACTTGACTGGAGATTAAATATTTTTTATTTTGAATTTTATGGGTGAGAGATATATGTTTTAAATGCTCCTCTGCACCGCATAAAAATATCATCCAAAAAGGATAAAATATATAGATGCAGGAGATGAGTCTCTGCTCTACAAATACTGAGCCATCTTATGAGAGATGTGCCTATTGCAAGATTTGCAAATTATCATGTAGATGATAAAAGTTTCCCATTATTATGAGAGAATCATTGAATAGTTTGGATCTCTGAACAAATGACTATAATAAATATGAACTTAAGAGTTCAAAAGTTCAAAAGGATCACTATTCAGAATATATTGCAAATCAAATGCAAAAAGCTTATGGATGAGATTTCATGCAATTATTGATCCTCGTATAAATGTATATAAACTTAAAGTTCATACAAAATCTCTTGTCCCAGCTAAAAATGTTCTACAAAAATATATCTCTCGCGGATGACATATTATTGTCTATAACACGTAAAAGAACGTGATAGACAACTTTGGTTCCGAATATAAAGAAAATCTTCAAAATTAAAAAGAGCATATTATTACTAAAAAGAAGATTAAAATCTTAAAAGAGGAGCATAGAAACTCCTAAATAGGAGCAAAAAAAAAAGACTCTTCAAGAAGAGTAAAGAGACCGATTGCCATGGTTAATAACGAAATCAGGTACCTAAATAAAATCATTTGTAATGATTAAGAGATCTCGATTAACCATGTCATTACGGAAAAATATAGAACCGAAGACAACATAATGTCAACAATAAAATGATCTAGTGCACAAATATGATTAATGAGGATCATGAATCTCCGCTCTGTGAGCGTAAAGAGATATATATTGGCAAATAAACAAAGAGCCAGCCAAGTCTATATTAATGTCGTATAAGAAACGAGTAATTTCTGGACACATGGTCCAAGCCTTCAAAGAGTATTATGATACTTAAGACAAGGTGGTGTGTCGCGCCGAGTTTTGTCAAAATCACCCTATATTGAGTTGATGAATAAACAACTTGAATTACGCCTCTTGGGATGTCTATATGACTATAATCCCTGAAAGATATTTGATATCATAGTTATATTCCCGTGAACTTATAAGCATGATATTTTTGAACATCATCAAAACTCTTAAAGAGTTATTTGGAATAAGAGATCTTGGAAAGACAAAAGTGTCTCCAGATATCCCAACTAAACATCTAAAGTAAGAGATGTTATATTAGTCACTTTCTAAAGGAAGTCGACTCTATATATTTGATCATGAAGCACTATATATAAATGCTGACGAGTATTTATATATTTTGTGAATTGTAGCTAGCATATATAAATGCTAACGAGCATTTATATATCTTGTGAATATATTGTACCTAGCAGTTGCTACTGATCTACTTGCAGGATTAATTCATCTCCTCCGACTAGACCTTGAATGAGTTTAGATGTGTCTTCCATTATCTGCAAGGTACTATTGACTTGGGTTTATTTTATTCTAGAAACCCCGAGTTTGGTTTAGTTGGTTTTGCAGATGGATGATCTATATAAATATATATCGTAAAACAACAACTTCGTGGCGTTTCCAACAACAAATTTTGGTCGTCGCTTGTTCAAGCCATGCCAAAATGCGCTCCATGAACCATGTCGAGAATCTGTATGGTTCAGATTGATGCCCTCTACATATACAAGAAGCAAACAATATAGGCACCACTGAAGAGCTAACAACAAGACACTACTGTAACTGTTTCCCAATTCAAAGGAAGCCATGTCAAGAGCGACATGAGAAGACATATTTCACCATGATTCTTCTCTTACAGTCAAGAACCCGAGAAGAATCGGGAAATTGATTTCCAGTACATCTACTCAATAAACAATGTAGCAGATTACAAAGGTGCTTCCAGCTACAACATTTAAAAAGCATGACATATCGAAATGCATCTTTTGAAGAAGATGTTTCTAGGGAGAGACATATGATGATGAGCGTGGCTGCATTCTTTTTCCCTTATCATGGTTTTTATCCTACTGGGTTTTTTCATGACAAGATTTTTAACGAAGCAGCAAATAATATGCAGAAGATAGACATCAAAGTAAAGGTCTATCTCTCTTCCAAAATCTTTGTCATAATTTGACGAGATCAGAAGACGCGCAGAGAATGATCGAGTCATCTACGAAAGCTATGGAAAAAATAAGATTTGTCTATTCCAGGGGAAGCTTGCGTCAATGTACTCTTTTCCTTTATCATGGTTTTTCTTGTATACAGTTTTTCCATGGTAAAATTTTTAACGAGGCAGTTCGTAATATGTTGATGGTGATGGATAATCAAGGGAGAGTGTTAGAAATGGATAATCATAAATGATTATCCCTCACCTTGATCTCATCTCCTTATCCAATCTAATTACTTGGCCTCCAAGTTTACTTTGTTAGCATGTTATGTAATGTTTATCTTTGTTAGATTTAGTATATATAGACTTGAGATGTAACGTTGAAATGTAAGAGAGAAGGAAGAAAAAATTTTATTTGCTCTCATTCTCTCTACGTTCTTCTCTTCTTTTTTCTTAAATATTATATTATATATGTGTTTGCGTTATGTTTTATAACAGCATTTATTTTTTTTGGGAATTTTTTTTAAAATAGCCAGAATGTATTATAGCAATATCATTACAGTATGGATAAGGCATAGGGACCAGAAAATTGATAAAAGTGAGTTAATAATTCGGTGGCCTATTGTAGGCCCAATTGGAACTCGATATTCAAATCAATGTGTAGATTACTAGATTTTGTTGTTTCGTTATCGATTAAATATTTAAATTTTGTTTCTATCTTTTCATTGTGGATATAAATAGAATAAATAATATATTTTCTTTTATTAACCGGAAATAAAAATATCCACTAATCTCTTTATTAACCTAAAAATATTCATTTCTCAAATTATAACTATAATAAAACTACATATTTTGTAAAACCTATTAAACTGCCTATCCTACTAAATTTTTCTTGTAAAATAAAATTGTAATTAGCCCTTATAAAATTGTTAGAATCATGAAATTATTCTAGTGAAAGTGTTTTGCAAAATATTCCAGTGAAAGTGAAACAGCGACCAAATATTGCTCTACAAAAGAAACAAATATTATGTAGATATTCTAGAATATAAACAAGTTTTAAGTTGTGCCATTCTAACCAAATCAAGTTTTGGTTAACAATTGAGTGATTCCAAAGAACTTGAGGAATCAATTACAGGAGAAGAAGAATGGTTTAACCACTTGATTCTTTTCATCCATTAACTTAAAAGGAATAAAACGCCCACATCTCTCTTGTAACGAATCTCTATTACCATATTCCTGAAACCGGGATGTTACATCTCTAATCCAACAAACCATTGGTATTTTGGGTTGGATTGAACCGGTCTGTAACTTTGACGACTATACATCGAACCTAAAGGAATGAAAATTAATCTCCAACGCACCAACTAACAAGAAGAACGAATGAAACCATACTTTTTATGTATAAAATCTGAAAATCGGGAGTTCGATAAATTTCTGTTTATACACCTCAGGAGATATGAGAATTTGTAACATTGTTCCGATGCAACAAACCCCTCAAAAGAGACTCAAAAGGGTCACAAGAAGGGAGATGGATTTACAACAATGTGCTTTAAGGGATGTGCTACATCACCACCACCAGCATGTTTAACGAACTCTGCGGGTGAAAGGAAGCTTCCATGGCACACACACACGATCCTAACCTCCTCACCTTTGCGGTACCGATACAGAAAACCATCAATCTTTTTCCCGTTTGGTCCATCACCTGTTGTTGATACGCACGGCATGTCTTCTATGATGTTTCGGCTCGCTTCTTTGCCCGGATTCTCGGGCTGAGATTGAGCGGTTGAAGGGCTTGTTTCCATCGACTTGTTTGTTGTTGCTTCAAACACAAGTAAATATCTCAGTAAAACTCTAAACAAAAGATGACACTACACATAATCTAAATCAACAAAAAAATGTCGCAAAGCCTAGAAGATTTACTAGTTATGCTTTCGGATATTATCGATAATCCCTTAATACATTTTCCCTTGGAATAGGAACACAAACAATGTGGTAATGGTAACTGCTCTTTTTCTCTCCAAACTTCGTTTCTTTCCGCTAACAATACCTAAAATGGCCAAAAACCGGACTCTAAAACACCAAAAAGACACCTAGACGCGATGCAAGACGCGAAATTAAACGAGAAACAAAGACTCAAAAACTCTATAAACACCTACAAGAGACCTTAAAATGATAAAAGATACGAAATAAAACGAAAATCAAAGCCTCATAAAACGCTAAATACACAACACATCAACCACATTGCGACAATTGATCTACCCTAAGCTAAGGAATCTAATAATCTTTAAATAATGATATCACTACATCCAAAAGAAGATTCAATGTCTTGTACCCCAATCAATCAAGTATCAAAGATCTAAACAAGACAAACAAACCCCAACAAAACTCCATCTTAAAGAACACCTAACTCATCTCTTAATCCAAATTCAACAAACTCATGAAAGACCACAAAAACTATGGTAATGTACCTTGAACAGGAGGAGGAAGAGTATCAACTTCAGACAAACAAGAAGAACCACTACCAGAAGAACCAATAGATCCTTCTTCCACAACCTTCTCTTCACCACCACCAGCTTTATGTTTCCTCTGTTTCTCTGATCTCTTCCTCTTAGCCTCAAGCCTCCTCAAACTCTGCAACTCCTTCCTCTTCCTCCACTCTTCCTCCGTTTCCACCGGCAACGAACAAGTCCTACTCAGCCCTGACCTATCGTTGACCACCAAATCAAGAACCGACGAAGACCTCATGAGCCTCGTTTTCGCAAGTGGGTCAACACCAAATCTTCCATTGAGAGATAGACCTAAGTCTAACTCAATCTCTACCTCTCCATCTTCCTCAGACAATCTCTGTTTCTTCGACATGAACCTCTGCAACATAATAACTTCGGTCGGAGAATATTAGAGATCTCTCCTTTTCTCAACTTACGAAAAATATGTTTTAGATTTTAGATTAGAAATTTCAACAGATTCTTGATGATAAAGAGCAATTCAAATCCCAAGAAAAGAGCAAAATATCAAATTTGGAAGATTCCATTTCTTCGGTTAATGACGACCTTCCCTTTTTATAAATCCAATAAAAAGTTTATTTAAATAAATAAAAAATTCCCAAAAATTTTAACATTTACCGAAAAAATCTCCGACAAATCTCGTACGAACACTCAAAAAAAATTACGAAAAAAAAATTAAGAGCTCGAGAGAATTTAGATAGAGAGAGAAGAGAAGAAAAAAGAGAGAAAATCAATCAACAAAAAGCTGTTTGTCTAATTTGCGGAAGTTAAAATACCGAAACTACCCTTGTTTGGTGCATTAACGACACGTGGAATCATGGAAGACTCTGACCCAACCCAAGGACTTTGAGCACCCACGTGGTTTTCATCGAGAAAACAAAGACAATATCGTACACGTGTCTTATGTTCAGTGGTTGTTACGTTTTAAGATGGGATGTTGCAGCGTCAGGTCGTCACGTGTCTTTGTTTTTGTTTTTAATTTAAATCACATTATCTTTTTTCTGCTGCCACGTGTCTCACGATGTTATCTTCTCTCTTTTTTCTCTTGGTAATTGACACGTGGAGATTTGTTAGGTTTTGTAACCTATCTGTCGCTTTAGTAGTTTCATTTTGCTTTGGTAGGAGATTTATTTTTCGGGAAAAATGTCATTAAAATCCCCAACTTATTCAAAACGTTGATTTAAATCCTCAACTCACGACGAAACGAAATAAATATCAAACTTATGTTGACTTTCCAAATAAATATTAAACTTATGTTGATTTTCCAAATAAACACCAAACTTTCATTGACTTGGCCATATTAGGCATGACGTTAAGTGAGTTAACAGACAATGTTAACGGGATTAATTTTCTGTTAACAGACCCGCTAATTAAAAATGACAGTATTGTTGAACTATAATCAAATCTCATCTAAGTCATATAACCTAAAGGCGTATTCATATAAGTTAGTTATTTACGTAAGAGTCACGAATGTACGTACGTATAGTTGTATCTGTTCGTAAAGTTATGTCTTTTCGATTAACATCATTGTGTGTAATACGTTTTATCTTATCAATAAAGATCAAGTTTCTTCATACTCTATTTTTCATTTTGGTTTTGTTCTCCATACTCTGTTAAAACAGAGTTTGTTTGTTGATCAAAACACTAACAAGTATTCCTTCTAAACATAAAACGACGTTGTTTTGTCGTAAATGTTCAATAAAATCCCGAGTTTCAAATCATACTCTATTTAGGGTTAGGGATTTTGCTCGATTTGGGGATCTAAGATTGACTTTAGAGATTTGATTCAATCGTTACGACAAAACGACGTCGTTTTGTTGTTATATGAAACAATGTCGTTATCAATTAACATATATGTTAACATAAAATTACCTCCATTAACGAGATCTATTAACCCACTTAACGTCGTACCTAATATGGCCAGGTCAACGGAAGTTTGATATTTATTTGGAAAGTCAACATAAGTTTGATATTTATTTAGAAAGTCAACATAAGTTTGATATTTATTTCGTTTTGTCATGAGTTGAGGATTTATTAACCCACTTAACGTCATACCTAATATGGTCAGGTCAACGAAAGTTTGATATTTATTTGGAAAGTCAATGAAAGTTTGGTGTTTATTTGGAAAGTCAACATAAGTTTAATATTTATTTGGAAAGTCAACATAAGTTTGATATTTATTTCGTTTCGTCATGAGTTGAGGATTTAAATCAACGTTTTGAATAAGTTGGGGATTTTAACGACATTTTTCCCTTTATTTTTCTATCGTATAAGTAAAAGCAACTTGACGAACTTTAAATATATATATTTTAAATTGAAAAGTAACGAAAAGTAGAATATTTGACAAAAAGTTTGAATTAATTTTAAGTGTATTTTTTCAAACGATTAGTCAACAATTACCATGGTACGATAGAATAACGTTTTTATTATGTTAGTGGGATGGTGGATTAAAATTTTTATCTATATAGAATAACCATGACTAAGGACAATCTAATTTTCTTTTTCAAGGTAATGACCGTGTTTGGAATACTTTTGTAACATGTCTTTTGTGCAATTCTTGAGCAATTAAGAGGAGCAATAAATGTTACATCATTTATATATTAGAGTAAAAGTTGAGTAATACTCCATCTGTCCCATTTTATTAGATGTTTGGACTAAAAGCATATTCCATCCGTTTCAGTTTAGTTGTCGTTTTAGGATTTAAATTTTGTTTCATAATAGTTGTCGTTTTAGGTTTTCAATGCAAATGTTTGGTGAAAATTCCAGTTTTAATGTTTTGGCCAATGACATTTTTTATAAAATATATTAATAAAGAGTAAAACAGAAAATTTAATGCTTTCTTAATTTGTGTGAAAAAACCTTAAACGACAACTAAAACGAAACGGAGGGAGTATAGATTAAGAAACAATAAATGTTTTCTCATTTATGAAAATTCAACCTATAGAAGAAGATATTGCATAATTAAAATAATTAAATATTATTAAACTAATATAAATCATGCATTGAAATTAGAGAAAATCTTATATAATGGAACAAATGAAAAGGTCTAAAACATCTTATATATTGGGATAGAGGGAGTATAAAAATTGCTATATTTATGGAATTTCAAAAAAATAAAATTATTTTAGAATTTTCTTTTACTGAATTTTTTTATATTTGTAGAATCGTGTTCTAGATTGTCATGTATTATACAACAATTTTAAATATTTTTGATATTATGATTTTACAATAGATAATAGCGAAAACAAGAGTTTAATAAATATATTTAGAATATCAGAATGTATATATAATTTTTAAATAATAGGTTAGATAATATGGTTATGGAATGTCACCGTTGCTAATGTACACCACATCATCGGTTTCGTCATATGATGCAACCTTAGATAAAACCGTAATGGCTGAAGCAGAATATTGGTCAAAATATTAGAAGCACGTAGAGACAGTAATCAGCGGCTATAATCGCTAGTTCGAGTGAAACAACCTATAAACCTAGATAATTCGGATATATAAAATTACAACATGATCGAATAAAGACTATAATCGTGTTTGAGTATATCGTGTAATTATAAACAGTTTTGGACAATATATAGAAATTTTTGTTTTCGATTTTTTATAACTTTAGTAATTTTAAGAACTTTTAGATAATTTAGGTAATTTTATTAATTTAAGAACATATGTGAGATCCATGTTTAGATAACTGTGGATGTCGGATTCACACACTCAAGTATTTTTATTAATGGGAAAGATTATTCTTGAGGGACAAAAAATAAGAATGTCAAAGGCTTATGAATTGCTACAAAAATTGATATAGTATTTCTTGCTCGATAGAGATCCCCTTTTACATGGCCATTGGCCTCTATACTTATACCTAGAAAAATGACATTTAAATGGCTAATTAAGTACAATTATTCTCTCTTAAATGTGTCCGTTTTGATTCTTTGACTTTAATGCTCAACGTTTGAATTTGAGTTGACTCTGGTCTTTATGGGCCTCGCCTTTTGGCCCAAGTGTCCTTGGACCGACTTAACCATGACTTCGTCTCCGGACTCGTATCGAGGTGCAATCACTTCGAATTCTCCTTATGGTGGTAACCACTTCGATTGTTCTTTTGACTTGTGGGTCTAGTGGGCTTTATCCTTAATGGGCCATTACCCCGACTACGTGGCAATCTTTGGTTGGTCCTGGACCTCTGGTGCGGGATCCGACACCAACAATTAGCCCCCCAAGTTCTTCGAAGTGCCATTCCAATTCGAAGGACTTTAAATGCTTAAATGACCAAAGATTGCGCTCGAGAATCTTTCTGATTTCCCGCCGAAAATCTCATCACTCCTTTAATTCCGGCACTAGCCATTTTTAACCAAGTGACATCTGTCATCATTATGACCGCATAGTAATTAATTACTATTAAAACGGAAAAAAACCTTCTCACTTCCCACACAACTTCCGAGGCGGTTTCATCATTTAGCTTGTGTAAGGTAACTTCTTTTCACCACCATTTTCTTCTTTTACTTTTGTGCTTTAATCAAAACTTCTCTCTACTTTTCTTCGCCGAACCTCTCTTCGCCGGATCTTGAATTTTTCATTTTTCTCCGATGACTTCCGATTCTGAGAGACCTGAATCTCCGTCTTACGATGAGAGGCGCTCCAGCAATGACGAATGCACTCGTCCTAACGATATTGCCGGTCCTCATTACAAATTCACCTGTACTCTTCAATCCCTTGAGCGATTAAAGGGGCTTTGTCAAATTCCTCCTGGAATCATAGCGGAGGCACAGATAGCCGATCCCACGGAATTCCCGGAGAACCACCGCAACGGCTACTTTTGTGTTTAAGAAATCTACTTCAAGGGCTGCGGATTGACCTTCCCCCTTCCCGAAGCCCTAGTTCGATTCTTGGCAGCTCTTGAGATTGCTTTACCTCAACTAACCCCCAATCTCCTCCGAACCATCCTCGGGATTATAACCGTTGCGGCGGAAGCTGGCTACGTCATTGGAGTCCCCGAGCTGAATGAACTCCTAAGTGTAAGGAGTTCATCAAAGAAAACAGGGTACTTCTCGGCGTATCCAAATGCCAACAGGAACATTATTTCGCACCTCCCGAACAAAGATGAAAACTGGCACCATCCTTGGTTCCTGATTAAGAAAACTCCTGCTTTAATTGGAAATCTTTCTGATGTACTCCCATCGAAGTGGTCTGCGAAGCCTGGTAGAAATTAGGTCGTATATTCCTTCCTTGGTTGTTTTATTTTTTACTGACCAAACTCGTTGTTTTCACTTCACAGCTGTCATCGCTTCGACTCTTCCGACTGAAGAATTCGTCAAGTTCTTCAAAACAATCCTTGAAGGGGAAACCCTTTGGAACTCTTTCACCCTCGATCGGTTTGTCGAGGCCAACCGAAAACTCAAGATGAGTCCTCCCAATCTACTTCATCGTCTTCCGCCTCCTCCCTCAACTCAGGGAATGTCAGCTCGGGCCCTTACTGCCCAGCGTAAGAAACTCTCCAAGCCGATAGTAGAGGCTTGTGATGAAAACAAGGCGTTCCTTGCCGCCGCCATTGACAAAAAAGACTACAGCAGGACCCTGCTGGTTGATGATAACAGCGCCGAGGGATCCAGATCCGTTGCTGCTTATAGGTTAACACCTCGTCGCGAACGTCGTGAAAGCGATCTCCTCGTCGTGATTCTCTTCGTCCTACCCGAGACGATTTTAGCAATGAACCACTTAAGAACTTGGTTCGCAGGAAGAAGGACAAGTCATCCCGTAGTGACTCTTCTCTGCGAAGGGAGAAATCAAGGGCCCGGACTGACCGTTCACCTCGATCATCCCCTCCCACTGAACCAATGGGTCCTCCCCGACCTGTT